GGGACCTTTAAAAATATCCCTAGCGGCCGGGACCGAGGTCAAAATGACAAGGGCCAACGGGTATTGTTTCCCAGTCCGGCTGTGCAATTTGTGCACTGCCTCGGCTGGGAAGCCTTGGTCGGTTAAGTCGCTCAGAATGAGCTCGTTGGAGAGCTCGAAGGGGACTCCTCTGAGTACCGCGCGGACTTTGCGCTCTTCGGGGAGAGCGTAAGTGTGATAGGGGAGTTTGTTTGTAGTCAGAAGCCTTGTGAGGCTCCTGAACGTGTCAATGGTGGGTGTTGTGATTTTGATGGCGTGACCAGTGTTCGACGCCTGTGTGTAATGGATGTTGTGTGCTTTGCAAAGGTCCGCGACCTTCGCCCATTGCGCCTTATCGCGCAGGAAGACGGGCGGCGGCGGCTTTGCCTTGATAGGTGCGGCGGTGCACCTAGTGTGTGGTTTTGTGGTGTGTGTAGTGTAGGGTTGTGCGGTCGGTTGGGCGACCGTGAGAGGGGTGAGAGGGCTGAGAGGGACAGAGGGCGCCGTTGGAGACGCGGTGTCTGCGCGGCGCTTGGAGCGCCGCTTCTTCTTGCTCACCACAGTGGTGAACACAGAGTCGTCTGACGCCGACACAATGGTCGAGTCGGAGTCGCAGGTCGAGACCGGGCTCGAGGCGGGGCGCTTGCCCGCGCTCGAGGGCCCGGGGAGGCAGGGGGTGTCGGGGCGGGGGGGTTCGGGGGAGGGGCTGGCGGGCGAGTCGCGCATGGGGCGCGCTCTCGCGACGAGCTCCCTGATGGCGGCCTCATCCAGGGTGAGGCCGAGGGCGGAGAAGAGGGACAGTACCTGTTGTGTAATGTCCATTGTGATGTGTTTGTGTGTAGGTCTGTGTAGGTTGTTGTGTGATGTGTGTGTAGGTGTGCCCTGACTGTGGCGTGAAGCCACAGGTCCTAACACCCTATGCGACACCGATGGACTCCCCTGCCCGCGGCAGGGGGTCGGTTGAAGCTGTAAGAGATGTGTTCCGATATTCCTAGCGAATATGGGAACAACCGTCACCCTTGGGAAGGCCCAAGTGCAAATGGGATCGGGTCTTCCGGTTTCCGAGCTCAGGAGAGCTCGAGACGTACCGGGGCTACGCCGACCAGTTTCGTTAACACCGCTAGGTATCCACTGGTCCAATCTTGGATCTCACGTATGAGCGCAGGCGCGTCGAGTCGACTCGGAGCAGGCAGCTGTGCGGCGGGGCGCACGGAGCAAGGAGGCGGCGGTGCGACGAGGCGCACGGTCCGCGGTCGGAGCGAGAATGACTGATGAATAATATTCGTTTCTACAGTAATTTATATATAATTTCGAATCTAGGAAACAATTTTTCATGATTATTGGTCTTTAGGCCAAACATGTATGGATGCTGAATCTCCTTTCTACAAAGTTAAAGTTACACTAAAGCTTTGATTTTTCAATGAAAGAAAAATATTTAACTGTTGAAAATTCTTTAAGTTTTCTTTCCTGTTTTTTTATAAATGTAGCAGTGCTCTTTAGCAGGCCGCAATATTTTAAGTAGATATATTTGTGATAAAATTCTACAAAGCCAATCTTGTCTTATGTTATGTTAGACCAGAGTTACATTAAAGATTTTTTTCAGTCACTTTTTCCCAAAATTATATATCACCTGCTTTCCTACGTACGTACTTGACAAGAAGTCCTGTGGATCGGAATTCATTACATATAAGTTAATAATACTTTGTCGGTTGCAAATCTTAACGAATTAACCTAATCACAATAAACAAGTTACTTGTGTTATCTTACTATTAACGACTTAATATAGTGGAAACAAAGAATCAACAATATCCTAGATTTCTCGGTCTGATTATAAAACAGCGTTGATGTCTTTTTGTTTCACGTTCTCAAGATGGAGAACAAAGAGCTCGTAGTGCACTTAGGCAAAGTGGTTTATGTAAACAAAGAAAATATTTTGAATCAAATCAAATCAATGCTGAAATTGCCGCTCAAATTGGAGCGCCCGTCTGGGGAAGTAACCTCCACCTTACAAAAAGCTACAGTATAATAACACTAACTTTTGGTGTGCTGATAAGTAAGGTTCCAGGGCTCCACGAGGAGAGGATTGGATCAGGGTAGGCACCGGTGCGAGTAATATTTTTGGTATCGCAAGAGTAAGTTAGACTGTTGTAAGAAAAGAGTAGTAGTATTAAGGACTAAGACTAATTATATAAAAAATAAATAAATATTTCCAACACTCACACCAATTAGCCTAGCCCCAAAGTAAGCACTGTAAGGCTTGTTTTATGGGATACTAGGGTAACGGATAGAATACATACGCACTACATATATAGGTATATTTATATATAAATATAAATTAAACATTCACGACTGGAGTACAAATGCTCGTATTCGTCACACAAACATCTGCCCCCACCGGGAATCGAACCCAGGACCTCTCGAGTCGGCGACACCATAAAATCCGGCGTACAAACCACTCGGCCACGGAGGTCGCAAAATTAATTATTAGGAAGAAAGAAAAAGGCTCAAAGTAAGGGAAACAATTATAATAAATATAATTAAAATAGATACAAACCAAAATGCAAGCTTATATCGAGGATGACAGCAAAGAAGACTAGGAAACCAAAGACAACCAAAGGTCAATATAAAATTGTCTTATAAAATATCTCACTTTCGGCCAAAAATCTTCCTTCATGAACGTCGCCAGATGTTCGATTGGCACCCGCACCTCAAAGGAATTAAAGTTCACATTGTGACGGGACTCTAACCGTGTGACTCTGAGGGAGAATTTGGTCTTAATCCGCAGGTACCCTACGATCTCCTTTCCTTCGTAGAGTAACGCAGTCCGGACACGTACAGCGGCGTCGTCGTTATTGCAGGACGCAGCAGATGGTTCGGTCCGGTCGAGGCGGCACCACACAGATTGCGACGAATGGGCTTCCTCTTCTTCCTTTCCATTTTAATGAAACCCTCTTCGTCAGATATTCGCTTTTGTGACGCTGCCGGAGTAGCACGTTGGATGCCGAGTTTGCTACTCTTCTCTGTTTGTTGTTTACTATGACGCTCGCAATTCGGAACCGCATCAACGGGTCGGCAGGTGGCTGCAGCTGCTCAAGCACGTTGCGGTGTAGACGTGTATGCGCATATGCCCAGTGCGGATTGGCGGGTGCTATCAACTACAGATGCAACTGGGACTAGTGCCTCCAAAGCACAGAGAAGCCCAAGTTAAGAAATTTGTGGTTACCTATCCGATGGCCGGTCTTGCGAACAAATGCTGAACTTAAGTACTTTATTTTTTTAAGCATCTAGCTGCTAAATGTTTAAAAAAATAAAAATATAACTAATGTAAGAACTTATGTATAATAAACATTTAACTGAATACACTCGTATCTTTCACAGTAAGTAATAATTATAATAGGAATGATATAATAATAAAAGTAATAATAATCTTTCAACTTATAATATAAAAGTACAATGGAGTTATGTAACTAGTTTAAATATATACATGTATAAAATTTAAATACAAATTTCCTTAACCTACTTATAAAAAACATCTTATTTACAAAATAAAAAATAAGTGGTGACTTATTTTTTAGACTTAGACCAGCGCCACCGTCAGGGATAGTGCCCACTAGGCTGGCAGCATTGCCACGTTGAATGGCAAGGGTGATCCGTTGACCAAGATAGGTGCCAGCCTTTTGATCACCAGTTACTTCAGTAAGTCTCTTTGATATTTCCTTAAAAAAGGAACGAGCGCTTGGACCCCATGGGCCTATGGTCTCAACACCAATCGGCACAAATATATAGTTCTCATTGAGAGCTGAATATTGGCGCCGTCTCAACACCAATCGGCACAAATATATAGTTCTCATTGAGAGCTGAATATTGGCGAGCATTCAGCAGAGGCCGCCACCGCACCTGCAGCAAGGAAGGTGCTCCCTGTGTAGCACGGAGCAAGCGTATCCGCGCAAGTTGCGTCCCACACAAGAAGGCGACCTTGCTTCCATGGAATGAGCGTCATTCCGTCAGGTCTCTTGCCATCGTCACGAAAGATGCCGCTAGGTTCAAGGACCGCTGGCACGTCGACTGCGATAAGAGCTCTGCGGATGACGTCATTGATGCAGGCGTGGCGGAAGACTCGGCCGGCGCTCATTTGGCATGAGAAATAATAATAATTTTTATTTGCATTGTTGTGCAATTTTCAATCCTGAAGATTCTGTATTCTAATCTAGAATTTAAAGCCAACTCGGAATTATAACTGCAGAATGTGCTAACGCAATCAAAAACACTTCTATATTTTCAAGTTTTATATTTCTGCATATTACAATTTATAATTAAAACTAAGATAACAGAAACAAATAAAAACAATAACAATTCGATATTATTAGATCAGGTACTTTGTGGTTTTTAACAAAAATCGAATATAAATAAAATTTAGTTTAGACAAAAACAAACAAAAGTAAAAATAATTATAGCCTTATAACAAAACAGTTTTGTAATCTACTATTTCTGAATTTTGAATGACTAAAGTATGTAAGTGAAGAGAATTATAACAAGATACAAATAAAGTAAGTCATAAACTTTAGTAAGTTACTTGACTACAACCTAACCATAATTTTAAAGCTCCATTTTGTTATAAAGCTATGATGATTTTTATGGTTTCTTTCTTACAATCTAATATTATTCTATGAATTAAATAGGTAAAATAAACAACATTCAAAGAAGGGCAACAAATTTTCATAATACCTAATTTATATGAATTTCAAACGAAATATTCATTTACAATTTTTTTTTCACATTACCGAGTTAATTTTTTTCACATTACCGAGTTTGTCGATTTATATCGACATAAGGATGCTTGCTTTCATTTAGTATTTATATTTTCTTATTAACTTTTTTAATTTTTTCATAAAAGTTTCTTTGGATTTATCATTTATATCGATACTATTTCTTCTTTTTGGACCAATCAACACAATCTAGCAATATGTAAGTATTGCTAGATTGTTCAAAAACTACCAACAAATAAATTAAGTCTTAGTTAACTTTAACTCAGGTAATGAAATTTTCGAGATGATTCTAAAGAAAATTCGTTTTGAAATTCTAACACAAACATTGACACTATCGCTTTATAGATGCGCAGCTTCGTGCTGTGAGATCGGCGCGGTTTTGTGCACTACCGCGTTGAAACCGTTGTGTTTGTCGGCGGTATAGTCAACAGTGCGGATGGAACCGTCAGGCTCCACTACTGTGTATTGACCTAGAAAACATTAAAAGAGGAAATAATTAATAAATAGTACTTTCAAATCTTCGAAAACAAAAACAGAAAAGTCTAAAGAAAAGTTTACTAGAAAAAGAATCCACGCGGACCAGGCAGACGGGACTCGAACCTGCACCCTTCGCTATCCGGGCGAATGCACTGACCATTAAGCTACCGTGGTCCTGACGGCCACGGTTGTTCGATTATTTTTTTTTCCGGTAAACTTTTCTTTAGATTTAAACATCTAGCAGTTAAATGCTTAAAAAATAAAAACATAACTAAATGAATTACACTTAGTTGAAAAGATATGATCAGGAATTTATTAAAGTAAAATGAACTTGATATTGATACTTCTATAGTTTTCCTAGTATTATTGTTTTTTTTTTCTTGTACCTTTTACGACATCTCCATCCCGGCTTTCGTGGTGCGTTTTAATGTCGCCAGTATGAAAATCGTTAACGCCATACTTGAAGATGTACTTTGGATACGCCTGAAAGAAACAAAATACAAAATCAATTAATATAAATTAATTGTTAACATAAACTGTGGAATTCAATAACTCTAGATTATTAATACACTCATCAAGTTAAAACATATCCGTCTAACTGTGGCCACAATTCCAACGCGTACAAAGAAATTTGGTGACTCATTTCTTTATCGGACTATCCGTAAATGGAATACTCTGCCGACTCACGTGTTCTCTCGCTTTTACAACCTGGGATCCTTTCAAAGAGACGTGAAGAAGCAACATGCAGGCGGGCAGGGTGAGGTAGACTGGTGCGGCAGGTACAACTGCTGTATCAGTTATCTTTGCGTCTGGACTTCACCGTCACTTAACATCAGGTGGGGTGGAGTCATTTATCGGTCCTATCTATGCACCTCAACAGCAAACTTAATCATATGAGCTACGATCACCATCATAGATACAAATCTAATTGAAATGTATGACCTTTCTAAAAATCCGTATATTAATTCACTTTACATAATTCATCTATAAAATGAGAACACGCAAATATCGAGGCGCTGTAAATTTTATTAAAATTCTTTAAGCATTTTAAACGTAACATTACCTATCGATTACTATTACGTGCTTGAAAGAACATTTGTAACACATTAACTAGACGAAAGAGTGTCTTCGGAAATAACATACATTGAGCGTGCAGAGAAACTATTTATGCTATGGGTGCGCAAAAGGCGCACAAACATTACACAACGGTTCTCATGAGTTTTAAGTTATGGACGAACGGCGGAATTCGGTCACAACGGATTTTCCATACTAAATGTATGTTTTTTCCGATTTCTTGTTAGTTTCACTAATAGCTACTACGAGAATGTGAAGTTTGTACAGCTTTACCACAGGTAACATTTAGTAATTCCAGATACTTGTTACTATTTTCTATATCTGTCTTCTTGATTTTCTAAGGTAAGTTGAAGTAGGTAGTTTAATCACTAACCGTTCATTAATAACTACAAATTCTTCTTCGCTTTAATATTAATATTATATGGTTCTTGTTGTTTGTGATTATAATGGTTCGGATTTAAAGAAGGATATCTGATATCGTAAGGCCTACCATTCTAATAAAAAGGTAACGTTTCAAGACATATTAAATAATTCCAACAACGTATACATACATACATACTTCATAAATATCAACAAATTATTCTGGAAATGAAACATTCTAACTTTCATTTTAAAGAACTGAAAGCAGTTATAAAAGAATCATTTTACTTTTCCGCTACGGCTTTTACTTCGACCATACCAAAAAAAATCGTCGCGGGCGCAACGAACCGATCACAATACGTTATTAACGCAGGAAGTGTGCTATCTCGTCACCAATACTTATTCAAATAGATCCTTACTTCTTATGGAAATTAAGTAATCACTATTGTTTTGGAAAAGAGACGGAAAATTTAAACACTTTTTACACCTTCAGAATATCATTGAAATCTCACTATAATCGAGCTTTTGTTTGTTAAGTTAGATTAACAGTAGTTACTAAAATAAAGTACTTTGTATTAAATAGAAATAATTTTCTGTAGTCGTGAGTCCTCCTCTCTGGACCGTGTGATAAGACATGGCTAAATCTCCATATCCCATTTCATTGCCCCATCACATCAGTGGGGACTTTAAAAGGCTTATGATGATTATTAAAAGCGCTTAATTTTGATATCTAATGATATTTTTTTTAGAAGTAACATTCTCTCTTTAAGATGTCAGACTCGTCATGGGTGAATACTCTGGCCGCTCCTATTTGAAACATTTGGATTGTCGTAACATTTCATGGATGTGTCTAATTCCTTCTAGTACCTATATAATAAATGGGAATCTCAAAATGGAATGTTGAATGAAAATAATGAAGTACCAACTAACCTATTTAGCTGTTTAATCGGCAGTTACACATCATGTGCCATAGATTATAGAACCGAGGTGAGGAAAGCGAATGAAAGTGCTCCTAATCGACGCGTAACCAGAACCGACGGTGGAATATGACACCTTAGGAATGATTTCCATTTCATTCCATGCGAATAGCCAATCACTTTAAAAAATCATAGTATTTACAACATTAGATATCATGAATCCTAAGTGTCTACGTGTTATGCGTACATGTACATTTATTAAAGTAAGTTCAGTACCCTTAGTACAAGTTTGAGCTCACGAAAACTATCATAGTTTTCGTAATTGTAAATTATGTTTCTATGTCCATTTTGGTGAAAAGTAACCAAATATTCTTAAAATGTAAGAAGACGCAAACGATTTAATGATAGAATTTAAACACTGTTTATTTGTATTGAAACGAAAACAATAAAATCAGTACCCTTAGTACGAGTGCGAGCTCACGAAAACTATCATAGTTTTCGTAATTGTAAAAGTCGTACTAAGGGTACAGTTCAGTTGAACAAAATAGTTTACATAGTAACAAAATTGTAAAAAACGAACTTTGATGCGTACGTACATATATAGAAAAAGGAGAGGATCATTTAATAAAACGTTTATAGGCGAATAAAAATGTTCCGTTACTATATAAGGGGTTAACATATAGAAGCATAGAAAAGGACTGTAATTTTATATGACTTTAAATACAATTGCATTTTACAATTGAACGAAAGATATACCATCCCTATACTGCAGGCGGGTATTATTCTGTTTACCCTTGGATGTTCCCTTATTTATGAAATGAAATAATACTTTATTCAAATTGACTTATTAAAAGCCCTTGAGTCGTCTAATATTTTTTCTTGCCATCCATTAAGGACGTGTTTTAGCTGATGAGAAGAATGTGCGCAGGAAACATCAATTACAACAAAAAACAGAAGTAACAATATTTACATAAAATCATGTCACTACCAGTACAACGTCCTCACACATTTTGATTGCTATGTCACACAGTATTATACCCAGGGCCTGGTGGATTTACAACCAGATCGACTGTCTCTGTATTTCAAATTTCTTTTCAGCACTGGCGCTTTAGATTATTCTGTATGTTTGAAATTATTTGCCCTCAAAAGAAGCAGTAGAAGAACTAGATGGCACGTTTAACTTACATAATAGTCTACGTGCTCATCTTCGGTGATGTGATGATGATCATAACCGATGCGCTGCTGCGGCCTAAGAGCGTGCTGCGATTCTGAGGGCCGCAGGAATGCGAACAGCCGTGCGTTTGCGCACACCGCCACCGTCAGGACAACCAACGCCATCTGTGGAGATTGAAAATAAAATATGAAAAGACAAAACTTGGGAAAGATGTGGTGTGAATAAAACTTTTGTGGTGGTTGTAAAGTTATCAGCGAGCACTGCTATCCGCAGGTACCAGTTCGGTAAAATAAAACCCCGCTTACTCCTAGATTTTGTTAACTGTGCCATGTTTTGCTCTATCTTCTATTAACATGTTATCAAATTTACACTTATTCAGTTATATGCATAAGACTTTATTGTTTCAAGGGAGACATTTTACACTTATTATCCGTTTCTTGAATGTTTTTGCAATAACTTAAAGTAAAGAAGATATTGACGGAAGTGAGAAAAAATTACTATTAATTTATTTACACTGCCCGCGTATCTTTTCTAATCTAGTTTAACACTTTAAAGATAAATGTGCCTAATAAAATTAACGAACGCATTGTTCCTTGAAATAATTACAATTTAGAGATTCGTTATCATTCATTCCAGCGGGGTGATCAAAACGCAACGTTAATAAACTAACCGACCATTACTTCCAACTTCCAATAACGTATTTGTCGTTTTCCGGAACTTGTAATTGAGTAAGTAAGCAAGTAGTATGGTAATTTGGATAATTAATTATAGTGAATTATGCAAAGACGCGGTAGGAAAATATATTCGATAGAGGAAGCAAGCTGTCTTAGCGAAACGCTTGCTGCCCCCTCTGAAATATTATATGAACGGACAAAGTGATTGCAAATCACTTTCGGTTGAATAAATTAAATTGGTGTTATTACGATAATTTTAAACTTACGCAAAGAAAACATATAGTTGTACCACAGCTATTCTTAAAATCTGCTATAACTAAATAAATATAATAATATAATAACCTTTTTGCTTTCTTGTTTGTGAATCCGTTGGTTCACATAGCAAAAAATATATAAATAAACTAAACATATTCTAAATGAGTACTTATATGTTTAATATTGACTTAAAACTGCCAAAATTAATAAAAAAAAATAAAAGAACAAGAACAATAAAATTATTTATTACTGTATTAAACTGTAATGAATGCTGGAGACATCATTTAATTTTTCCAAACTTAGCAAATTTTGTACTATGATTGATTACACATACACACTGTTATAAATATTTTTTTTAATAAAGCAGAATATTTTTTTGTTATATAATTATTTTATTTTTCTAAACCAACTTTGGAGCCATCAGTGCATTGAGCAAAGAATTGAATTCGAATTGCGATTTTGAAAGACGAGAGCAAGTTAAAATATCCACCTTTATTGTTATTTTTAATCCACACAACATTTAAAAACATTAAGAAAAATATCTCTGAACTTGGACTGAAAGTTTGTCATGTTATCATGGTTTAACTAAACAACCATTTGTTCGGAATTATTGAAAAGTAAATTAGTTAATTGTTAACATGAGAGCGTAAGAGATATGTTTTTCATGGCAATATAACTTCGACCAAGACAATGTGCCCATTATCTTTAGAAGGTAGTACCAATACTAAGTCTTCGGATGAACAAAGGTTTCGTTTTTCAACATTTCCCATGCTTTCGATGAATGCCAGTTATCATCATTACGTGTTACGTTTTTGCCAAGTGTTACGACTTAATACATAACTCGTTTTCACTTGTTACAGTGTTTGTTGTTACAATATGACTTAATTGTTGAATAAGAACTAGAATTGTTCAATTATTTGCTTGAATCTGATTTTCATAGCAAATTGGTTTACTGTGATTATCTAGTATTTTTTTATGTTAAAAGGGTGGTGTAGCGGAGAGCTAGTGGAATGGAATATGAAGACTAGGATTTGAACGCAATGGCTTTATTTGCACTATTTTAAAGTGATGACAGATAACAGGAAAAGACTATGACACACAATAACAATTTTGATAGCAAAAATCATAAAAATGTCAATACGTTAAAAACACTTCAAAAAACTATAAAAACTAAATCTATAAAAGAGGTCAGCAACAAGTGGGTAAGAAGCTCCCCTGATGGTAAGCGGCCATAGTGTATAAATGCTTGTAATACCAAAAATATTACACGCGCCGCTACCCATGGAGCCCTGGAACCGTAAAAACCAACTGAATCACAACACCACCTAAAAGTTGTGTCATTTTACTATGGTCTTCTGTGTAGATCTGTGTACTTGCCTAGTATATTTTATCAGAAAATTTACAGTGAGCATATAAGATGCTCTTAATATTGTCACCGAGTTTATATAGAGGAGCTCGAGATAAAAAAAATGGTCACCAATCGTACGACTGGCCACTCAAAAAGTTGCATCACTATCACAGACTAACCACTGCGCCACCGAACTTCAAGTCAAATCACGAAAACTACATTGTATAGGTATCACAGATACAATACCTATACATTGCATTACCGGGTTTCATGATGTCGCCGACACGAGACGGGACGGGTTCGAATCCCGGTGGGGGCAGATGTTTGTGTGATGAATACGAGCATTTGTACTCCAGTCATGGATGTTTAATATGTATTTCTATATAAATATACTTATATATGTACCGTATATGTATTCTATCCGTTACCCTAGCATCCCATAACACAAGCCTTACAGTGCTTACTTTGGGGCTAGGCTAATTGGTGTTAGTGTTGGAAATATTTATTTATTTATTATTATTGCCGGAATACAATTTTGTTCATAAACTTTTGACATTCAAAGAGAGGTAGGGCATAGCGAACTTTCCGCTCGAATTGGAGCGCCCGTCTGGGGAAGTAACCTCCACTTTATAGAAGACTACAGTAAAATAACATGAACTTTTGGTGGTGTTGTGTTTTTGCCGGTGAGTTAAGTTCCAAAGCTCCACGGGGTTAGGGTTTTAGCGTCTATAAGCTATGATGGCCGCGTCCTAACAGACGGGCCATAAGCCGCAGACTTTTTACATAAAAAAACGAATGTGCTTATGACCACACGACTGAAGTGAAGTGAAGCTCCATCTGTATGTATATATATATATGTGTGTGTGTGGGTCTGTGTACAATAATATACATATTTCATTTACTAGCTATAAGAGAAAGACAGAAAGAAAATGTGTACACCCACTGCTCAATGATGCCAACTTAGCTATTATTTCGTGTAACTCCAGCTTACTTCATCAACGAAAACTACTACACTACCAAAAGATATAGGTTATTATGCTGTGATCTAACACTAATTTGAGCGAAAAAGCGATCTACCTGTTTATCGAACTTAAAAATATACATTTTACTATAGACTATTCTGTATAAGGTATAATGTACCAAAATAATACGAAAAATAACAGCCGGCAGCCGAAATGTTATAGAAAAGTTTAAAGGCTTCTATACTGAAAGGGCGACTACGACAACCTTATTGCAAAGACACAAATGTCCCTTGTTATTTGCGAGCAATAACTTATAAACCGTAGTACTGAGTGTTACTACTGCGATGATGAATTAATGATAAAGATGAAAAAAATATACATTTTAGTATAGACTTTTCTGTATAAGGCATAATGTATCAAAATAATACGAAAAATAACAGCCGGAATATTATAGAAAAGTTTTAAAGATTCTATACTGAAAGGGCGACTACGACAACCTTATTGCAAAGTCACAAATGTTCCTTGTTGTTTGCGAGCAATAACTTATAAACCGTAGTACTACGATGATGAATTAATGATTAAGATGAAAACTACATATAATTTAAAAAATAAATGGGCCCCATATAAGCAGCGAGATAATGTTACGGTGTCTGCCCGAGCTAAATTATTTTTTACATTGACTGAGTCTAATATTGAACCCAGGAAATCTAGATTGGGACAATGATAGTGCTCAAGCCACTCGACCACCTAGGTCGTCAGCCAACGAAAAATAACATAAAATATGTTTTATCATAATCTATACAAATGCTAATAATTATTAAATTCAATAACTTCAGAACTTTAAGTAAATAAGTATAAGCCTTTAAATCAATCAATATCCACAAAAGTAACGAATATAATTCCTTAGTTTTAGTTTAAAGTCAGTTTTAATTAAGACTTTATATAAGTAATTTAATAAACAGCTTGCGTTTAGAAAATTAACACCCAGATCAAAGACATTAAAGACAAGTTCACTTTCTCTGCTAACCCAATCGAGGTTCGAAGCCAGGACTTTAAAAATGACGGCACCTAGCCTATATATTATGTTGCCATCATTGTACATTATATGGAAACACTTAAAAGATTCCTATTATTGCATTTTTTTATCTAATTACTTTATTTTAATTGCTAGCATCATTAAATTAAAGAAGAATTAATTTACTCAAGAGAAAACTGCTTAACATTTTATTCTCAATATCTATAATCTGTATATTTGTATTTATATGTTTTTGACTGCATTTTTAATTTCATTTTATTTTATAAGGAACTTATTCTTACCTTTAAAGCCATATTTATTTATTTACTATCGCAACACAAACTTAAAGACACCAACACACCACTTGTAACGCAAGCGAATGACCGTAACAAAAGCTGTATGTTGTATGAGTAAGTGAAACTTGGGAGTTAATATATATATGTGGAAGACAGGAAAGTGGGGTTGGCCAGAGAACAGTCGGAAAAAGTATAATGTACCTAAGTATTCTCCTCAGTAAAAAATCATGACAACTAATTATATTCACGAATTATCCATATAGGGTGGATGTCCCGGTCTCAAACCAATTAAAGGAAATTATTAACTTTAAAATGTTGCTATATAGCCTAACAGCGATATTTATTGCTACTTTATTTTTTATATTGTAAGTAACCTAGTTATAAGTTGTATTTGGGAAGGAAAATATTTGATTTCTTTTTGTTTATTTTATTATTCAAGATAATCGCTATAAAACTGGGATGTACCCTAATTTGACCAGCCGGCCCCAGTTGTTATCAAGATTTGTACCAGAGGTTGACCACTTATAAAAAAGTGAAATAATAACTACATTCACAATTAAAAAACAAAATTATTTTATAATCAACTTTATGGTTTGTTCTTAGGACTAATTGAGATCAATAAGTAAATTAAATTAAGGTTAGTCCCAACAATCACAATAGTAATTCTTAAATCTAAATGGCACGTTTTCAAATCACCATAAAATAACGAATCATAACTTCACTTAAACTTTGAACTTTTTAAACAATCTAAAGTTTTGGTTAAGTAATTCTCTGTTAATATCAAACTTAAATATTTTTTTTTATTGTTAAAAAAAATATTTAAGTTTCATAATGAAATTCACGTAATGATTCAAAATTAAAAACTGCAAAATTAAAAAAGGAATCAGATCCAAAAAAGATACTTGGTCATTTCTGGTACTTTATATGAACCTCTATTATTAATTGACACAGGAGCATTAATTTTCTCCACTATGCTGTCATTAGCATACCAAATTTTATCTTCTTTATCTGGCCATTTAAAAGTATTAGAAGTTGATATCACCATCGTACTAACTTCTTTACTCTTTAGGTCAATATTTTTGACAATCCCGGGAAAATGCTCCCCTCGTAGTTTACTATAACATATGATCCTATTTCCTCGTCTGATCTATCTTTATTACTGTAATTAATTGATCAAAGGTAAATTATCCTCATCGGAATCAGAATCAATTCTATTCTGAACTCTCTTTTTTACTCGTTTTGTTTTAGGTTTCTCAACTTTTTTCAACTCTTGTACTTTCTCAACTTTTTTCAGAATTAAAGTCCCGTTTATTATGTATATTTGAAGTTGCAAGCATTATTATTAATTTTAATTTCTTTTTTGGTAGCATATTGTATCTAAAACAAGAAAACAATACTCATATTAAGAGTTTGGTCAATTATAGGATTTGTATGCAGTACCAATGTCAAACCACTGGTCAACTAATGGAAACGTAAGCAATTTACTCCTTTAAAATTGATAGTCGAGTTACAATTCACATTCTGGACATGAAACTGTTAAAATAAGTAAAAAAAAGAGTACCACTTCAGTGTACTAATCGCTGACCAATTGGTCAATCACAGGAGCACCTAATCAAATCATGTACCTTTTGTTAACCAGTAAAATAACTCATGAAATATATCGTTTTCATTTGAAATTCATTGAAAATCTTTATAATAAACATAAAATGATTACAAAAAACAATCATCCGAACAAGTTCATTAAAAAACAATACAAAATAAATTAAAAGTGTTCTTACCTTTCTAAACATTATCCTTACTACAATGGCGGCTGAATGGCAACTGTCAGCGACAACTCAAAACAAAATTAAATTGTAGCTTTCACTGGTTGTCTCTTTCTAGTCGTAATGTGATTGGTTGATTTGTATTAGTACCAACAAGATGTAGCCAACATGAAATGAAACGCTTAATCGCCGGAAAGCCTAATATTAACACTCAAAGCCGCAAGTGGTCAACAACCGGTGCGTGGTCAACTATAGGGTCAACCATCCTATAACAAAGTTTTTTTTTTCAAGACGTTTTAATAATTATTGTTTCGAAATATCATTATATCAAATGAAAAAACCGCCCAAGTGCGTGTCGTGCCACGCGCAGTGTAGGGTTCCGTGGATGCCTGTAGTTACCACAAATATTTGAGCAGGAGTCTATATTTTCTATATCCAAAAATTAGAAAAACCAATTAATATCAATGTATGTATCTCAAATAAAACACCTAAATCAAAGTCAAACTGCGCCTCAAACTCAAAATCAATTCTATTTTTTTTAAATACGCCGATTTTTTTACTCCCAGGCGGGAAATCCTCATGGAGGGTGTCCATGAGGATTGTCAGGACTACGTAACCCTAAAAAATAATAAGCTTGGATTAGTCACTCCATGTTTTGTCTCTGTTCATTGAATGACAAATGGCATTTGAGTGACATGAACAAAACACGGCGTGACTAGTCTAAGCATACTCCTTGTGTTATAAAAAGTGGGAATAAGATTAAATCAAACATAATAAATAGTTGCATAAAATGAAAAATATAATATGTAGACGTTTAATGCACCTGGTACCAATTTGCACTTAATAGGTAGTTTAATGCAAAGTTCACCTAATTTCTCCGTCAATCCATTATGTCAAGTGTTGGTGTATAACTTGGGATGATAACTGATGTGGTAGATAGTACACCAAAATATCTCTGAAGATTTATATATAAAAAGTCTGATTTTCCATTCAACATCACAATAATACAAACACTAACCGCCTTATTCCAAAATCTGGATCAAAGTTAGTCTTAGTTTAACCCAATGCTGTCTCTGTCTTCTTTTTAGCAAACAAAGTCGTAATAAGGCTTTTTAATTAAGTAAACACTCAAATACTGCCCTTGATTCAACAACAACCGATTAAATTACTTTAGTACAAACTTTTAAATTTATCAATGGTTACAACCCCATCGTTGCCCCGCGTGATGTTTATTTATCTTTTAAATAACTAAAACATTACAACTAAATTATACGGTGATTTTATCTGATATATTATCATAAACAAACTTAACATTCACACACCACAGGTTAAGAAATAAAAACATTGGAACCCACTTGCATGTTTACCATTAGTTAGCGTTAAATCACCAACAATAAGGGAAAAACAAAAATTACATGCCGTACCAGCCACCTGTTAGCGTATTCGCTAACAGCTTTAGACAGATGGAAGTGCTAATCACTGATCCATTAAGCGATCCACTACTGATTTATTATAACGTCACTAGGATACTTGTTCTGAAATTCATCAATGGATATGCAATTTTCTCTTTAGTTACACACTTTCAATATCAAAAAAGCTAGCGAATAGGCCTGCTGAACGGGCTACATTTTGATCCCAAAATTTCACATTCCCCATTTCATGGCCACCACGCTCCCCTTGCCAGTCTGGAATCTACCACCCGGATCTAGAATAAGTTGCACGGTATCTGCAAAGTTTCAATAATACAGAAGTGTTTGTATTTGACTTCAGTTCAAAAACTCAGTTTTACGCTGATAAGTGTTTAATTTATTTCAGAACATTTTTAATTATTTCATATAAAACACTGAAGGAAATAAACTAAAGATTTTTCTACAGTTATTCAAGTAAATATTTTTAGACTTGGTAAATCCACAGCTTAATTATTATTTTCAATCTTTTCAATGCAGTCAGTGCAGGAAAAAGACACCAACGAAAACGGAATACATACTCATAGCTCTTAAATTTTCGAGCAAAGTATGTAGACGAAAAGAAAATTCTGTTATGTGTTATGAAAATAGTTGAAAAACTAGACAACATCGACGTAACATTAAAGACGCAGCCTAGGATGAGTAAATTACTATTACGCACGTTGCAAAGAGCATTATATCATTACAATTTACCTGTTGTTTGTAAAATCGCGCCCGACGCTGAACGCATGTAATATTATCAATGAACAATTTTGAACCATTCAGTGGAACAATCTAATAGACTTTTAAAGAAGGTAAAATTAGTCATTATGTAATACCTAATAAGTTTTTATTCTAGTAAGTTACTAGCTCCATTTGTTACAGTTTACAGGTTTTTTGTTCAGTAAAATCAGTTTTTTAATAGCAGATGGTACAAATTGTAGGAACAAAGTAAAAATTTACACCTAATACTTAATTTTCACCAACTTCATGAGTTATAAAATACAGCTGTAATGTACATATATAAAAATGAATCATCGCAAAGTAGGTATGTATGCGCTTCACTTCCGAACGCCCGAAACCAATTGGATATTTTTTTTTATTGTGTTCATTATTGTCAGGACAAGGTATCATTTAAGAAAAGGCTTGAATTGGAGCGCCCGTCTGGGGAAGTACCCTCCACCTTACAAAAGATCACATTAAAATAATACTACCTTTTGGTGGTATTATGTTTCTGTCGGTGAGTAAGGTTCCAAGGCTCCATGGGGTAGAGAATTGGGTCAGGGTAGGCAAAGGTGCGAGTGATATTTTTGGTATCGCAAGCGTCTATAGTTGATGGTGGCCGCTTACCGTCAGGCGGGCCATACGCTTGTTTGCCAGCCTTTTAACATAAAAAAGTATGAGATTTACATTATCTTGCTCGTGCTGGTGCATACCTTTAGTAACACTACAATACCTCAATAGAGTAGTAACCACATAATTACATATGCACCAATAACATTTATATAGAGCAAGTACTATATGGACTCGGTCCATAAAGGGTCCATAAATACCGTTGTAAAAAATTAAAAATCAATAATATCCTTCGTTATATAGCATTCCTTTATTTTTTTAATTAGTTTTTTTGTTTTGTCTATAGTTCCTGTAAAACCTGGAGACTTGCCCAAGTGGCAGAGTTGAACCATCTTTTAAAATTGTATTTAAAATTAGCACAAACAAAACGTCAATTCGTTCATTGGTCACATGCCAGATGTCAATCACAAGAAAACATTCACGAACGTGATCAATGAACTAATTGACCCTTTGTTTGCGCTAAATTTAAATAGTTACAATTTTGAAAGATGGTTCAACTCGCTGATGATCCTCATAGCGTCAATAATAATGATAAAT